TTTATCATTATCTTCTAGTTCCTCCTAAACCAGCTAAGAACAGTAGCATATTTCAGTTTTTCTCTTCAACATCTTTTTGTAGCCATCATGTCTTTTTTTTTGAGATAAGAGTCTCACTCCATCGCCCCAGGTAGAGTGAGTGCAGTGGCATGATCATAGCTCACAGCAACCTCAAACTCCTGGGCTCAAGTGATCCTCCTGCCTCAGCCTCCCGAGTAGCTGGGGCTACAGGCATCAGCCACCATGCCCAGCTAATTTTTTCTATTTTTGGTAGAGAGGGGATCTTGCTCTTGCTCAGGCTGGTCTTGAACTCCTGACCTCAAGTGATCCTCCCACTTTGGCCTCCCAGAGTGCTAGGATTACAGGTGTGAGCCATATGTCATTTTTTACCTAGTCTTTTAGTTCACTGTTTTACTACTTGAAAAAAATTGTTTTTGTTCTTTTCTCTTTTTTTTTTTTTTTACTACCCATATTTATTAGTTTTCACTGATAATCTTGCTTACCTTTGTTTCTTGTATTTCATTCCTTGCCCCCTGAGTTCATTTTTCTTCATATTAAAATATATCCTTTGATGCTTCTTTCAGCAAGAGCTTGGGGACTTTGTAAGTCCTAGTGTGTTTGAAAGTGTCTTTATTTTACTTTCATTTCACTTCAATTCTCTAAAATTCACCTATAAAATATATACAGTGAAACCAACTTTACCTACTATACAGGGGAGAAAATAAAATTTTTTTGTAAATACTGGTATGTGTGTGTATATATATTAGTAGTAGCTAGTATAAGTCTTGTTTGATTTATGTTAATGTTCCTGTATTTTGAGTGGGTTTTTTGAAATGATTCCTTACTGTGTTGAGATAATATTTACTGAAATAATAGAGAATAATAGCTAAGAGAAATGTCATGAGTTGTACACGATCATACTTGTGGAGGAAAGCTAGGATAAGAGGAAATGCAGGATCTTAACCTCTAGCTTAGGGTTACTACCATTCAATGGAACTTTGAATCATGCAAGCATAAAATCCAGTTTTTCAGCGTTGTTTTTATTTACAAAGGCAATACATGAACAGTTTGGAAAATCCAAATGATATGGAAAGAAAAAGAAAGAGAGAGATAAATCTTTTAGATTTTTTTTTTCTAATTTTCCAGTTTGAGAGTTTTATGAGAATACTTCTGCTTGTGAGTTTGAACATCTTATTTTAGTGATCATTTTTGTTATTCCTTTGAGAATTGCTCTTTCTGCCATTGTCTTTTGGTGTTGATCTTTTCCTTAATCTATAATAATTCATTTTTTATTGGGCTTATAAATTTTTTGTCATAAGTGTTTCAGGTATTGTTTTCTTCGGTTTTGTATCTTTCAACTTTGTGCTTTAAAGAAAATTTTTTTGGAGCTTTTCAACCTCTTTCAATAACTTGTTGAATTTTTTATTTGATCAAAATTTCCTTTGTGGTTTCTGGATTTTTTCCTTATAGTGGAATAATTAAAAAGTCTTCCCCACTTCAACATTATTAAAATTTTTTAGCCATGTTTTGGTGTTGTTACAGTTCACTTTTCTCCCATCTTTGCATGTTTAATCCATTTGGAGCATTTTTGGTATAAAGAGTGGCATATATCAATGCCTCCTTGTTTCTCACATCCTACTTTGGTTTTTAAACTTGACCAGTGAAAAAATCCAAGATGTGAGCAGATTTAATCATAACAGAAAGTGAGATGTACTTCAGTGTTTTTCAGCTTATTAATATGTCTTGAATATTGATGAGCGGAGCTGGAGGTTGGGAGGGGACAGAATGGGTGGGCAGTGGTAGCTGGAGTTCTCATGGCAGGACTGCCTTCTGTGAACGTGTTTGGACAGAGAAGTAAAGAGAGGATACCAACAGAATGTCTCTTAGCAATTCTGTTTACCTTTTTTTAGTGACCCCAGTTCTTTGTCAGGGGAAGTGGGACCGTGGTAGGGTGGCGTACGATACCGCTGGTGAGAGAATGTTGATGCATGTTGTAAGTCTTGAATCCACACTGTTTTTGAATTCCAACTGCCCTTTTTCCATGAGGAAGCCATGAACTCTGAATTCTGTGGACAGCAGTATTTTTTTAACTTTTCATATCCACATATGTTCCTCGTTCAGAAAGGAATGGGGAATGAGTCTTTTCCCTTTCCTCCTTAACCCCTAAATCCTGACCCATAAGTAAATGCTATTACGTTTCTTCTATTTCTTACAGAAATTTCAAGTATTATTTTTCCTTTAAAAAATTTTTTGATGTATAATGTACATATTTTGGGGGTACATGTGATATTTTGATACATGTATACAATGTGTAGTGATCGAATTAGGGTATTAGGATAGCCATCACTACAAACATTTATCTTTTCTCCAGGCATTATTTTTGACGATTACATACTGCTGTATGTTCAGCTGGGGAAATTGAAGGTCTTTGATTCAGAAGAAACAAATCAAGAAGAAGGTAAGAAATAGAAATGTACTTATGGCTTTGAAATGTACTTTTCTTCAAGTTGTAATACCGAGATTATTTCTTTAGGATAATACATTTTGACAATAAAAATCAATTAGAGAACGCAGGGTGTAATAGATGCCAAGGGTAGAACCAAAGCTGGTGATGACAGCCTCTATTTGTAGAATACCTAACACAGGACAGAGTCTTTGCATATATTACCACTAATTCACACTGTATTAATATCTTCAACATGGAGACTGCAAACTAAGGCTTCAGGAGGTACATAACATACCCACTTGTCCTGGTTGGTAAAGGACAGAGCTGAAGTGTGGACTCTGGTCTCTCTGCCTTCAGAGCCACCTGTGTTGTAGGTGACCTAACGTCTATTCCGGCCCATTCTTTAAAGGCCTCTCCCTGCTTTTTGGACTAGATAGTTCTTCCTCTTTTTGCTGCTGCTTTATTTTCTCCAGGGTTCCATAGGCAATAGATGTCATAACCACAGTCAAATTTTCACATTTAAAAACGATAGCTTATGGAATGCATAAAAAATAACATTTATATTAATAATTTGCCAAGTTTTTTCCATTATTGAAGAGTTAGTAGGGCCTCCATCACCCATGTGCAATTACAAATGGCACCCTTACTCAGGACACTTTCCTTCCACTTGTCCAAAATATGTTATAATATGCTGATTTGTTAGAATGAGACATTTGTTATAATAAATGTACAAGTTGTCAGCAGCCGAGATGTAAATGGTACCCCCTGAGGAGTGTGCAGTGCCCAGTAGCCAAGTGAGGAGAAGATGTATAAAGGTGTTGTTAATTACTTCTGTAATTCTTATTGTAGAACTATTCTGTTTCAGGTTTTTCTAGGGACTGGCTGTGTATGGTTAGTAAGGGGGTAGGGGAGGATAGGAGGTAGGTGGACAGACCTACATTTTATCCTTAAACAAATGGAAAAAGCATATCAAATTTTAGTGTCCATCGCATTCCTGCTATAGGCCTCCCTCTGTCTTGCATGTTTGACTTCTGTGAGAAAAATTATCTTTGCCAACAAGGTCATAGAATGTCAATGGAGAGGCAAGACACATACACGTGGAACTGAACTGGAGAGAGTTTGCCAAAACATTCCATTGCACTGTGTGACTTAAAGGATAGAAAGCATTAGAGATAGAAGAGGTTATTGTGGCCAGAAGTTATCAGGGCAGGTAAGATATAGCCAGGTGGAGAGGACAAGGAGTCTTGAAATCCTGTTATTTTCATATGCATTCAGAGGCAGAAGAGCTGTGTGTCCAAAGACCCTCAGGTGACCCAAGGTAGGACCCTTAGGTAGACCAGCCTTCCCGTAATGACATTACTGTTCATCCTCCATAGCAAATCTTGGCTTCCCAGGTGACTGTGGCTGAGAGGGCACTGTCAGAAGCTGCTTCAGATCTGTCCCTCACGCTGAAGCATTTGCTGTAAACAGTCTGTACTGCATGTCGTGCCACGTTTACACGTTGCCTTGGGATTCTTCTCCCGCCGCCTCCTCCCTTTTGTCTCCTTAATGCCTGGTCTGTGGATGTAGAAGTCCAGCAGACTGAAGCCTATGCTCATGGTGCAGGGAACACCCTACGGGATCCCAAATTGTAAACCACTCAGCCTTGGGATCTGGAGCAGAGCTGAGGCCGTGCTGTCACTCCACAGTCTGAATGCTCTGTGTCTCTTTTTTTTTTTTTTGTCTCAGCTGGAAGTTCTGTGTAAAAGCAGGTGTTCTAGGAGGTTCCATCCCATGATTCTGATCTGGTGTATGACTTCTGAATAGACTGCAGTGGGAATCACATGAAAGCTCAGTACTAAGGACAGGCCTTTAAGCACTCGCTATCCAGACTGGGCATTGAGTTTAGCCAATGAGGTGGAAAGGGGGCTGGGGTGGTGTTTTGGGCAAGTAAAAGCTATTTCATAGTCAGCATTTAAAGCTCAAGAGATGGTTATCCTGTTTGTGTCTGGAGGACTTGCCTTTCAGGGGAAGAATCTCAGTGGTCACCGTGAATAGAATAGTCATCGCTACAGGGTTTTTCTTATCCAGATTTGCTAGAATCCATATCAGATCACACAGCTGAAGAAGACCTTTGGTTTATTTGGGCTTGTTGCTAATAAAATCTTCTTGCATTAAATCCTTCTTTTTTCATAGTGGTAAAGAAGAGACATATTTTATTTGCTTGTTTTTATTGTAGATTTATTTTTAACCTTCCATTACTCATACGTTTCCCTCCAGACATCTAGGACAAAGTTATATATCATAATAAGTAGTTATTTGTGTAGAACAAGAAGTAGTAGTTTTTCCAAAATAATCAGAGGATATGTTTTAACCTTGGTCTTGATATAAAAAGCTAAAATACATTGTTTTTTTTTGGTTGATGGTATCTATCCTCATATAGTTAAATGCAGGTAAGCAATTCTGGTCAAGATTTTCAGTTTTGCTTTGGAGGTTTTGTTCTCTCTTTCTGCTATCATTTGAAAATCTGTTTTGGGTGGTAGAATGCTAACGCAATCTTTGGTAAATCTTCCAGACCCTGTGGCTCACGTGCTTCAGAGCTGCTGTGGATGGCCCCAGCTCTCTTGCCTGCCCTCCTGAGTAGGATGTCCCTGAGATCCCTCAAATGGAGTCTCCTGCTGTTGTCACTCCTGAGTTTCCTCGTGATGTGGTACCTCAGCCTTCCACACTACAATGTGATCGAACGTGTAAACTGGATGTACTTCTACGAGTACGACCCAATTTACAGACAGGACTTCCGCTTCACACTTCGAGAGCATTCAAACTGCTCTCATCAAAACCCATTTCTGGTCATCCTGGTGACCTCCCACCCCTCAGATGTGAAAGCCAGACAGGCCATTAGAGTTACTTGGGGTGAAAAAAAGTCTTGGTGGGGATATGAGGTTCTTACATTTTTCTTACTAGGCCAACAGGCTGAAAGGGAAGACAAAATGTTAGCATTGTCTTTAGAGGATGAACACCTTCTTTATGGCGATATAATCCGACAAGATTTTTTAGACACATACAATAACCTGACCTTGAAAACCATTATGGCATTCAGGTGGGTAACTGAATTTTGCCCCAATGCCAAGTATATCATGAAGACAGACACTGATGTTTTCATCAATACTGGGAATTTAGTGAAATATCTTTTAAACCTAAACCACTCAGAGAAGTTTTTCACAGGTTATCCTCTAATTGATAATTATTCCTATAGAGGATTTTACCAAAAAACCCATATTTCATACCAGGAGTATCCTTTCAAGGTGTTCCCTCCCTACTGCAGTGGGTTGGGTTATATAATGTCCAGAGATTTGGTGCCAAGGATTTATGAAATGATGGGTCATGTAAAACCCATCAAGTTTGAAGATGTTTATGTCGGGATCTGTTTGAATTTATTAAAAGTGGACATTCATATTCCAGAAGACACAAACCTTTTCTTTTTATATAGAATCCATTTGGATGTCTGTCAACTGAGACGTGTGATTGCAGCCCATGGCTTTTCTTCTAAGGAGATAATCACTTTTTGGCAGGTTATGCTAAGGAACACCACATGTCATTATTAACATCACCTACCAAAAGCCTAGAGAAGAACAGTATACTTTTTGGAAAGTGTTAAGTGTGGTACTGTGGAAAATTCATGGGAAGGTCAGTGTGCTGGCTTACACTGAGCTGAAACTCATGAAGAACATGGAGACTGGAGATTTAAGCTTTACATGTGATCTTTTTTGACAAAAATCAAGTCAGGCCCTTTAAAGATGATATTCAGAGGAATTGAATATGAAGAAATTAGAGGTTTTGCTAATGAAATTAATAGGACTAAACAATTTGGACATGTCATTCTATAGGCTAGAATTTCTTAAAAGGGTTTCTCTGAATTATAAGCTCATTAGTTCATAACAGTAAAGCAATGTGGAGTTTTATTCATTGAACAATCTCGTCACTTAAAGGTTTCGTATATATCGTATGTGGATTACCAATTTAAAAGTATAGTTCTGTGTAAAAAAACTTCACTGAAGTTATACCGAGCAAAATTTCATCTGTTTTTGGTCATTTAGAAGGTACTTCAAGATGTTGCAATATTTCAGAGTTATAAATTATTACTTAATATTACTTTGAACTTCCCGGGTGTTTAAATGTTTTGATGGTTTCAATACTGTGTAAATAGAATAGTGAATCACTCTTTATATTGAAATGTTTTTCTAGTTACTTCACTGAACAGTCTGTTGATAGCCCCATTAATGTGAAGTCGTAGGTTGTTATTGTATATCAGTAATCTCTTGGACTTTGTTAAATATTTTACTGTGGTAATATAAAGAAGAATTAAAGCAAGAAAATCTGAATTATTGTCTTGTTTTTTAAAATATAGTCCCCAGTGTTTTTGGATGTCACTTCATCTGTCTTATTTTTCCACCCGGAAATTAGGAATAATTTAGCATGCCAGGCAGTATAGGTCCTTTTGCAAAGGACTCTGAAGGCAAAAAAAAAAAAAAAAAAGGAGAGAACCTGATGGCCAGAATATTATGGAAAGAGTGTCAAATTCCAGTATTTGAGTTGGAAAGAAGAGACTGAAGATCCAAGTTGCATTATTAATCTGCCCCATGTTTCCTCATTGACAATGAGTTTGTGCATAAAGAGAACAGAAGAAGGAAAAAAAACTGCTGCTGTTATTATTAGTTTCTCGTTAGGACGAAAGCCCTAATGTGTAGTCTAAAGTCAAATCTCATTTAAATTTTGTGCTTTCTTAGAAGTACATTCCTCCATAGAAGCGGTGATGTATCTTTTGTTGGACCTGCTGAAAGGAGGGCAAAGAGGAGCACTCCTTCCCCCCATCTTCCAGGGATTATGCGATTTCCTCTTAGAGTTGATACAGGCAAGTGATTCCTTTTTTCTGAATTATGTGATGGCAAAAGATCAAATCCCTTGTCAGGAACTGCAAACTTGAAAGTGTATAGTCAGCTCTTGTAATACTCAGATATTTATAATTCTCCTGTATGAAAAACCTAACTTCAATTAAAACTGTAATGCATGGTTCTCTATCTAACAAGGCTATTTATGTTTCCCTGGGCTCAGACCTGACCCAGTTATTAATACAATAAAATCAGTTGAATGAAATATTCTGTGGAACCAATCTATGCCCTTGCTAAGCCCCATCCGTATAGGAGTCACTTTCCTTAAGACAGATGGTAGTAGTTATCTTTGTGCTATGATTAGATTTGATGGGGTTTGTGGGAGATTACAGTCATGTGCCGCATGACGACATTTTGGTCAATGATGGACTGCGCATGTGACAATGGTCCCATAAAATTATAATGGAGCTGAGAAATTCCTGTTGCATAGTGGTGTCATAGCTCTTGTCCTAGCACAGTGCATTACTCACATGTGGTGACGCTGTTGTAAACCTGTGCTGCCAGTCATACAAAAGTATAGCACATTCAGTTATGTACAGTAGATAATACTTCATAATAAATGACTGTGTTACTGGTTTATGTATTTACTGTACTTTTTATTGTTAACACATACTCCTACTTATTAAAAAAAATGTTAACTGTAAAAGAGCCACAGGCAGGTCCTTCGGGGGTATTCCAGAAGAAAATATTGTTATCACAGGAAATGACAGCTCCATGAGTGTTATTGCCCCTGAAGACCTTCCAGTGGCATAAGCGATGAAGATAGAAGGCAGTGATATTGCTGATCCTGACCCTGTGTAAGCCTAGGCTAATGTGTGTGTTTGTTTCTTAGTTCTTAACAAAAAAGTTTAAAAAGTAAAATAAATTGGGAAAAAGCTTATAGAATAAGGATATAAAGAAAGAAAATATTTTTGTATACCTGTACAATGTTTGTGTTTTAAACTAAGTGTTATTACAGAAGAGTCAAAAAGCTAAAAATTAAAAAAGTTTATAAAGTAAAAAGTTAAAGTAAGCTAAAGTTAACTATTGGAGGAAAGATTTGTTTTATAAATTTAGCGTATACTAAGTGTACAGTGTTTGTAAAGTCTATAGTAGTGTACAATAATGTCCTAGCCTTTACATTCACTCTCCACTCACTCACACAGAGTAACTTCCAGTCTTGCAAGCCCCATTTATGGTAAGAGCCTTATATAGATATACCATTTTTTATCTTTTATGCCATATTGTTCCTGTGTTGCTTCTATGTTTAGATACACAAATACTTACCATCAAGTTTGTCTTAAACTCCTGGCTTCAAGCAATTCTCCTGCCTTGGCCTCCCAGAGTGCTAGGGTTACAGGCGTGAACCACCGCACCTGGCCTAGAGAGAACTTTTAAAATAAAAAGTAATTTCCCTTCACTTTTTAAAAAAGACCAAAAAACCAGAAAAATAAAGTGTGAATAATTGCCAAATTTTGGAAGATTATTCATTCTGAACTAAAGATTGGTGCTTAAAAGATCTCTAAAAAGTTAAGTGATTATGAAAAACATTAAGAGACTGAGTCAATGTTTTTTGTTTTTAACTATATGTTTCTTAAGCTTTCAAGTGGTACACATTAGTCAGCTGTGTTACTAAAATCATGACCTCTGGTATTTAGCCAAGTCAGCAGCTTTTTGAGTTTCAATTCTCATAACAAAGTTTAATTCTGGAGCCTACCCTTGGGCTGATGCTAGCCCATCTGCCACAGCCCTGCCATCCCCATGCTCTTACACACACTTCCTCACTCATTTACATTGCTTGTCCATAAGCATTGAGTTTGTGACCCATAGCACATCAGTTAGCTTTGCTAGATGTTGGTGCAATGACTCCCAGATCTCGGAGGTTGAAGACAACCATGTTTTCTTTTCCTCCACGTTGCATGCCAGCACTTTGCTGCCACCTTGCTCCATGAGTCTTCTCATCCCAGGACTCAGGCAGTTAGGTAGCTCTGCCTGGAACATGTCATTCATACAGAGGGAAGGAAAGAAAGTGCTGGTGGAAGCACAACACATCCACTGGCGGAGAAAAATCCCTTGCCAAACCCAATGTCCATGGGATGGGGAAGTGGACGTAACTACCTGCCATGCAGCATGCAGAAATGTACTGCTCTTCAGAATGGGGAATGAGCAGTTGGGTGCAGTGCTGTAATCTGCCACAGTGTGTGAGGGGAGAGGGAGCTCAGGGTTCTGTGTTGCTGAGGCCGGCTCAGGTGGATCAGAGTTTTTCTGGCTCACTGGGATTAGGTGCTTTGGGCTTTTGGCCCCTGCCTGAGAGGGCTGCCTTTTCACCCTCCTTATTCTTTCCTCAGCTCTACCCTAAATGGTCTTGACACTATCACGTTACCAGCAATTCCCCAGATGCAGAGCAGCCAGAGCAGAGCTACTTAAAACAAGTATTTCTGAGCATGAGGTGGGGTTAAAGCCCTTTTCTCTTGGAGTCTGGTAGTAGTTGCAGGACAAAGGGAGAAGAGGGTAGGAAAGGGATCAGCTCTGAGCAGGGAGAAGGGTGAGTGTGGGAAAGGTGGCAAGCCTGTCCTGTCACCTTGGGGTTCTTATAGCCATTGATCCACTAGAAATTAATCTTTTGTGTATTAAACCGACTGTTCTTGGCTGGGCGCGGTGGCTCATGCCTGTAATCCTAGCAATCTGGGAGGCTGAGGTGAGGAAGGATCACTTGAGGTCAGGAGTTCAAGATCAGCCTGAGCAAGAGCAAGACCCCGTCTCTACTAAAAATAGAAAAATTAGCTGGGCGTGGTGGTGCGCACGTGTAGTCCCAGCTATTCGGGAGGCTGAGGCAGTAGAATCACTTGAGCCCAGGAGTTTGATATTGCTGTGACCTGGGCTGATTCCACGTCTAGCCCAGGTCACAGAGTGAGACTCCATCTCAAAAAAGAAAACAAAACAAAACCAACTGCTCCGGATTTTGCGTGAGCTGAAAACCAACTCACTGAGATTCCTTCACACTCTCCATCAGCTCCCCGATTATTCCATGTGGTTAATATGGGACCAGACCTTCAAGAGTCCATGCCGATGGGAGTGTATTGGTGGGAGACGGAAGCCAGGGGAAACTTGGGGGACTGGACAGTCTCTAGACAGAGTTTGTGCCCAAGCCATCTCCTGGGCTTTGCAAGAACAAAGAAGGGTCCAACAAGGGTGGACATCATCACTCTGTATTTAGGGTGAGTGATAGAAGGACACAAACCTGCACTTGGATAGTCTTTTAGTTCTTGGTGTGGTCAACACAGCCAGGGGCAGAGTGACTCATAGGGTAGAGCTAGCAGAGACCTTAGAATTCCCCTCTCCTCTGATTTCCAGGTTTTTCTGTAACAAAGGATTAAAGGGGTATATGCATAATTTTCAATATTCCAAAAGCTGAGTGGAATCCATACATTTGCCAAAGCTAAGGAAAATGTTTCCATTGGCTAGAATTTAATCACCTGAGACAGTAGCCACAATCAACTTATGCTAAGCAACACCTTGATCGTGGGTTATTTTTTGTCTGATTAATAAAATGGAGAAACTATAGTGCAGAGTCATGAATGATGGTTCACTGAGAAGGAAGAAGGGCAGTAGATGGGATCTTTGCCAAGAAAAGGCTTGGGAACTCCTGTTCTTGATGTGAGGTCTCTGAGGTTCAGTCGGGTCATGTAACATGTCCAAGTCATTGTCAAGCCAGCACTAGAATGAATGTTCCAGGCCCAGCCCCACTGCTCTGTGTTAGGGTCCCCTGAGTTATTGTAGTTTGGCATGCCTCAGGAGAACTCCCTTTCTCAGTGGAATGGCAGACATTTCCGGAAGGGATTTCTCCTGTCTCAGGGGTAAGAGGAACTTTGAGATGCCAGGCTGCAGTCTCCAAAGGATCTGAGGAAAGCTGTGACCACCCAACATCTTGGGGAAGTCACGGGGTGACTCCGTAGTGGGCAGATGTTGCCCCAACAGCAGGTTCCCTGTGTGACGAGGTCCTGTAGCCAGACACAGCACTAGATCTTTCATGACATCATACAAAGCGTGCTGCACGTGCATTTCAAACTAAAAGCGTGTCCTCTGTACTTTTTACTAGGGTCTCGATTATGGAAATGGGGTTAAATTTTTTTTAATTTTGGGGGGGTTAGATGTTTCTGGAAGGCAATTTGTCTTCCAGTATAAATGCTCATTGCCTCAGAAATTCTACTGCTAGGAATCTTTCCTGAGGGATTTGTCAGAGCTATTCATTACAGCATTTTTTTTTAATAATCATTCAGTGTTCAACATTAAGAGAATATTGATTAAATTTCAATGTTGTCATAAGTTTGAATACAGTCATTAAAACGATGTTTATGAAAAGTTTTTTTTTTCGTTATGAGCCTAAATTTATTTAAAATAAAAAATTCAGGTGTGTGTATGCGTAATGTGATCTGGGCTATGCGTGCCCAGGT